CGGGTACCAAGAGGAAATGATTCACTTGACAATTTCAATTCTTTGTTGTGCAATTTCAAATCAGGGTGGATGTGATTGCACTTTCTGACATTGATAAATAGAAAAATAAAAAACTTGTGAGCTATGGATGGATTCATTTGGTGGAAGTAAAAATGTGTGATCTGACACAATAAAACACCTCAGAATAAAAGACTGGTAACACCAAAACTTAGCCTGAACATTAAATATGGACTTTAAAGATTCCATTATTCCATTATAGAAATAGTTCGACATTTGTTGACACCGCAATTTGCTTTCTCGACAGGACCTAGATGAGAAGATTTCATGTCTGTACTCTATACTTGGCATTAAGACTGGAAAAAGCATAAAACTCCTTTAAATCATGAAAATGAACGAACAGCTTTATAGTTCATGGAAAAGGTTCTTTCCCATTTAATCAAGTTCTAAACTGACATATCATATGCTCATAAAGAAAGCCTGCAAATAGAAGTGTGAAGGAGTAATGTGGTGGCTAAACCGATACTACGACCTTAAAAAAACACAGGATATTGTAGAAGCTGTGTTTTATAGCTAGACAACAGTGCACAGCATAAAATCTGATGGTTCCTGTAAATACCTGTACTCATCGATACCTTTGACTCCACAGAATCAAAGGAATCTAAATGTTCCATCATCTTAGTCTAACAGTTAGTTTCATTATTTCCACATTTTAGAGACAGACACTGTTAAGTGGACTGCTGGGCTTTTACCATTTGATGATGTCATGTGCATGTGTATAGCCCATACACATGCACATGACATCATAAAATGGTAGGGGAGATAATTCATTATGTCATGGACTCGTCTTCAGACATGCAGGAACCAGAGCACACATGCTCATCATGTGCTGCTGATGGACAGCAAAACAAAAGAATGGATGGAGATATGCGACTTTGTTTTCATGAACTGTTCTTCACTATAGAGATATTCTGCATCTGTGTATTTCAACAACTTGCCCGAGCTGAGACATCTCTGCAAGCCTGCATTTGTGGAATTTTGGGAGGGAAAATGGGCAATTATGCGATTTAAGGCTTTAACCTACTTTTAGGTGGAGTAGCTGTGGGAAAGTGGAGGACAAAGGGATCCGGAGATGCAGACATTTAAAGAGTAAAAGCCACAAATTATGGATTAGGTGGAGACTGTATGTTTTCGCGTGCTTTTGTTTTATGTAGCTGATATTGACAAGATGTGGGTGGGTGAAGAGCTGAACCTCCAGGTCACGTCCTCGTGGCGTTTTGTGTTGTTGTCAACAAGACAGTCCAGAAAATAACATATTTGTATTTCTGCTACTTGCATGACTAAAATGTGTTACTCACTTATTACTTGACTGGCCAAGGGCTGAATACAATATACATGTCAAGAGAAGAAAACAGGATGAGGCGGCTGAAAAGCTATTTAGCATTAATCCTTCATGACTGTGCATACTGTAGAGCAGATTGACTCTGAAGTTAATGGTGCTTGAGTGGGTGATTGATGCAGCCTGCATGATCCCCTGAGACTGTGACAAGCCGTCGTGTGTCCCCAGAGACGATCAGGGAACCCACTTGGTGCAGGGAGCTCAGGGGAGATTACATCTATAGATCACTGATGTTACTGACAACTATAAGAGCAACGGGTGCAAGAAGAAAAGGCATTGAAGAATTGTCATTCCAAGCCGAATGCATGCAACAATATATTTTTTCACCGCAGGGCATGTTGTGCATGATAAGAGGTGGATAAAGACATTAGAGTCAAGCAGAATGCAGGTAAGAGAAGAGTCCAAGTGACATGTAGCATCTGATTACCGGAGCCCGACAGAAGCTGACGATTCTGGCCTGGTTCTGACAAAAATTTCGAAATAAAATTCGGGTTTGGGTCAGGTTCAGTCACGTTGTCGAGGATATTTTTTCACACTGCAGGTGCCTGTTGGAACTGTTGGGATTCTACATTCATTTTAAGGTTTCAACTTAAATGTGTAAAGTGTCTTGAGATAATCTGTGTTTATGATTTGGCACTATACAGATAGATTGAATTGAATCGTGGAAAAGATCAGGCTCCTGGCAGGTTCGAACACAAAAAAAACAGAAAGCCTGTCGGGTTCTGTTTGGGCTTGGGTAATTTGCTCTCAGGCCTCGCTCAGGTTCAGACAGAAAATTACTCTCCACACATAAACCAGATTTATAATAACAAACAATTAAATGTGCTGGTGGAACATGCACAGAAGTCAAACGAACCCATGAAGTCTGGTTTATGTGGGCTGAGCTGGCATCAGTCAACCAAACTCGACTGCAGATGAAACCACTTTTCCACCTGTTCCAAAGCCATGTCAGCGGCTCTGACAGGGTTTTATGATCGTCTTGTATTTTAATTTTAGCGCAAATTATAACAGTATGTATTGATATATATTTTTAATAATTGGGTACCCATGGTGTTGCAATTGTAGAGATTTTCCTTAATTTATTAAAACATTTGAGTAAGTTTAGGGATATTAAAAGATGAAGGATGAATGAGATACCTGTGAGTCTGTATAATTTCATGTCTTCTACATGTCTTGGTTTGTTTTATAAAATGTCTGTAAACACAAACTGGAACACAACTAGTAGTCTGTCATATCTGTAGTTAACAGAGATACACTGCAGACTGAGGCTTCTGAAACGCCTATTTCCCTTTGCTCCTCTGTTTTTCATTTCAAGATGACTGCTATCTTGTATAATTGTGTCTGATTAACCTGCATTACTTAATGACAAATTCTGACTTCAGCATTAAAACACATGTATGACAAAGTGTCTGCATGCCATGGGTTGTAATACTGTAATGACTTTTAGGAAGCTTGGATGGGATTTTTATTACGTTGTAAACGCAGCCATAAAAAATCAACTTTTACACTTTTAGATTAGCGTTAAATGCACGTCTATGTGGCTCTCAGCTGCAGGAGTGCATAAATCTCCAGCGACCTGCGTGTGATTACGTCTTCCAGTAGTCCAAAGGTCCTGGCCGGTCTGCGATACCGTAGTTAGTGTTGACCTGGAGCCAAGTGTTCTCCAGAGGGAAAGCCTACACTTCTACATTTACAGTACGGCCGCATGGATCAATGGACCAGTCGCCTCTGTTCTGCTGAACCATGGAAAACCATTCAGCTCTGGTAAACAGAGGAGAGAATGTGTGTGTGTGTGTGTGTGTGTGTATGTGTGTGATTGCTGGTGTGTATCTAAGGAGGAAGTGCTCTTCAAGAATGAGTGTTAATGTTGACCTCCAGTACTTTACCACTGTTTGCACTCAGTGGGGAAATCCACTACCGCAACAGAGAATATTCAGTTTATCCAGGAATTTAAAAGTTTTTGGGGTGTGGATTAAAAAGTGGGTCATTAAATCAAAACCACATACTGTTTGGTTCCATGTCACCCTCACTCAGATCTGTCTGACACCTGTCTAAGTCTTGAGGCCTATTCATAGTTTTCACATCTGCCAGTCCGCTATTGGTCCTCAAGACATAAATCTCATCCTGCACCCATGACAGATACATGCACACACGGACCCTTGTCTGTGCAGCCCAGCACGTTAAGTCTGAAAACATTTGGGCTCTTAGTCTGGACAGGCACAAACAGATGTTTGGAAACGATGACGTAGACACACACAACCACTTGCTGCTTGGGTCTCTTCGGGTCATGTATACCCTTCGCTGATTCGTCAGGTTCCTATCACGTGAACCACTTCTGGAAGAAAACAACCAGCATTAGCCTCAGCTACCAGTGTAGAACACAATAGGTCGATAATAAATTGCAGTTGTTTTTTACCCAGTTGTTTTTGCTAACAGATGTTGTGCAGTTAAAGTCTGAAACACTTGAGTAGACACAGATTTTTGTTTGAAGACCAAAACAAAAACACAGAAGTATGAACGTAGCCTTAGTATTAACCATGGGCATGTACGTGTGACCGGAACAAGTACCAAACTTGCAGCGGACATGGAACGTGAAATGTATGGTCAACTGCTGCAGGCCTTTCTCTCTAGAAAGAAAAATATACCAAGAAATGTTCCAATGTTTAAACACTGAAATGGCAGCAATACACACACGGGTTAATTTACTTATTTCAAACCTTTGGAAATAAAACTGCAGCATAAACACATCTCCAATGGTTTTACCACCCAGTAGGAAGGCGGGAAAGTACTCTCACTAACCTTGGCAACACGTCCAAACTTAAATTCATTCATTAGTCATTTACTAAGCTGTAAGTCAAACCCACAGAGGGCGAAGGAATCTGTGTCCTCGTCAGTGCTTGCTCACATTCGGCACAGGGGTTTCACACAGTCATGCGTTCCATCATTTCATAGGTAAAACTTGGATGGACTCAAAACCTGTTTTCTAGTGTAGGCGTGTGGTTGCAAGGGTAGAGAGAGAGTTTCTCCATCAGTAGGCAGGGTCATCTTTATAAAGGCAGGGGCATCTTCAGGTGTAGCTGATTGGGTGTGTTGGGATATGAAGACATGGATGCACACACCAGATTAAAAAGGTGTCTACAATATCTAGGAATTCACAGTTTAGTGAATGGAACTTATAACTAATTGTCCTTAAGACTTTTTCAAACAATGATCTGGTTGCATGGATGTTTTTACTGTGATGATACAATCTGCAGTTACAGCACAAACATAACACAGTCCTGGCTAATTTGTTCCCATTTCACTGTCATTGCTCAACACTCTCTGGATGTTCTCTGCGCACTCACGCGTACTTTTCCCTCCACTACAACTACCACTGACTGGGAACGATCCACGTGCACTTCCCCCAATACTCTCCCTCCACCGGGAGACCCCCTCTGGCTCCTTCCAGAGGGCAGCATGCCGGTTCTCCACAGCCCTCTGTCTCCCTGCTTCCAGCCCGGGTGAAAGCGCCATGTTGAGGCGCCAGTGTGAGTGGATCACGCTGCGTGCAGCTCCGCGCAAGCCGGAGGGGGAAAAGGTTACAAAAGCACAGCGGGCGACTTACCTTTGCGATCGCCTTTTTATACCTCATGGCCGCCTTTTCGATGAGGCTTTGCACTTTCATATTCCCATCCCCGCACGGAACGACCACTCGGGTCTTCCCGAAACACACGGTCACTTTCATTCCTTCTCCCGGCGCGTTAATCCCAATGAGGAAAAAGACGCGTCAGAGCGACAAGAACCATCCCCAAACTGTGCGTAAAGGTGGAAAAACTAGATCCAGCAGCTGTTGTGCAGACACCGGGGTGAGGTTATCTCTGGGTCCGAGCTGGAGGAGAGGTGTCCGGCGTTAGATCCACTGCTGGGTGTCGTCCTCCCTGCACCGCGTTGACTCACTCGCAGAAACTTCCCAACTAAACCGCCTCTCTCTCTCTCTGACTCTCCGCAGCCGGAGCGCATCGCTGCACTGACACACACACACACACACACACACACACACACACACACACACACATACACACACACACTGTGAGTGCGCCCACATGTTGGAGCACGCACCAGGAATGTTTCCAGTGCACGTCCAGCACCGTGCACGACGGAGCTGGACTACAACCTGTTTGCGTCGCTTTCACATCACAAAAGTTGCGTAACGCGCTGCTCTGTAACCTGTATGATATATGTGGAGGAGTATAGCAGCAGGAATGAAACACTTCATAAATCTAAATCCTTTGTGCCTATAGGTCTTTGTTGTCATGGGGATTGAGGGTTATTTTCATTAAATACAGTTTACCCTATCAAGCCACATTTTAACTGCAATAAGATTGTATGAGCTGGTCATCTAGATACAGAACCACAGAGACATTTAAGGTCATTTAAATCAGATCTGTGACATTTATGTCATGGCACAACAGACACCCTGGGGTGTTGGGGGCTCCAGGGGCACAATGGTACCATAGACAATAATCCTAATGATAATAATCCTATCCTAAATGTTAATCAATGAAGTGCCAATTAATTATTTATCTATCTATCTATCTATCTATCATCTTTACACTTTATCAGTTAATTTTTACTTGTGCAGCACTTTTCACACAAATGTAGTAAAGCATACAAAACATTCTCTCTGAGGTATTCATGCTCACGCACCACTTTCTACCAAAAGCCTGAGAAATGTTTTATGTTTGATTTTAAAAGATGATACACTTGCAGCAGGTCTCAGGTCAGACAGTGTGTTCCAGAAAGAAACAACCGTGTTGACTCAATGCACCTTATTTAGTTTTGGTTCTAGTTGCATTACGGAGACACATGCTGATCTGAGGGCTATAGTTAGTGAGCAGGTCAGAAATGTATCTGGAACCACACCATTAAGGGCCTTATGAACAAGTAGTAATACTTTGAAACCAATTCTAAACTGTATTGGTCACTGCATAGACAATAACAGGACAACAAGCCCTGGCTCAAGACAGTGACTATCTCTGTGATTAAACTCTGGAATCACAGTATCTTATTCATCCTTGAGTTTGGGATTTTTGGTTTAAAACCCCTGATCCAGGCTCAGGTTACACACTGCAGGTCTTTTGCAATAAGCATGATGCATGTATGACTACACTTGGATGTAATGTATCTGTGTGACTACCTGGGTGATTCAGTGCTCGGAACACAAAAACAGATGTTGAGTTTTGGAGATAGACTGGATGAGTATATGTGCCCTGTACACTTTCAATATACTCATAGCTATAAAGTATATTCATGTTATGCAGATTTCTAAATTATTGAACTGCAGTGCAGGATACGACATGAGCCTAAGGCTGGATCCACAATATGACCCAATTCACTGATAAAAGCTGCAACCTTTCTTTTGAGCTTCCCTCGCTCCCTGCAGCTCTTATTCTTTATGAGCCTATGTCGTCCAAATGAGTGAACATGAACACAACTGCAACATCTGCAGACCCCTGTCTATACCACGGTGTCTCTATTTGAGATATATAAGTAGACTTTAGTGATTATTATCCTGCAGAAGTGTCTTGCTCAACTTTCAATGCTGTCTTTTTTCTGTTACAATCCAGAGATGAATCTATTAGTCTCATTTTTCATCAAGGCAAGGATGCTACAGTTAATGCAATGCATAGTTCCACAGCTCCTTGAACCTTGACCTGTAAAGGTGTTGTGTCTGACTCTAGATTTGCCTCATGTCATATCCACATGTGTTTCAAATACAAGATTTGCAGGGGGTAAAAAGGGAAAAACTGGATTTGTGGTCAGGTCAGTCCACCATGGAAACTCCTGCTCCCTCAGTTTCCCAATTTTCATATAACCACTGCTCCCCCTAGTGACAAACAAGGAAAGAACACACCGCCCTAAATAGCAAACTAAACATGCTGATGACTTTATGAGCTCTTTCGTCACATTTACATTCCTGGTGTAACAGCTAAGTCTCAGATACATCTATTTGTCTGTGCTATGTGTGTATTAATTGAAAACCAACACCTGAACCCACTGAAACATGGATATAAACGAGAAATGTTTGCACAAATCCCCACAGTTTAGTTAATAATCTGTCAGATGAAAGTTTGATGTCCAGGCGGCTTATTTTCAGCATTTTCAATCGTGAACATCCCTGAGCAGGTTAATGCTTCCCTCCTGGAATCGCATTCATTTATATGATCCACAACTGCTGCTGTAAGATGAGTCCGGGGCTTAAACTGCAGTATATCCACTGCACATCAGGAATGTAGGGAGGAGAAGTGAGATAGTGGTGAGAGTAAAGAGAGCAAACTGTTATTTACAAAAGGGCATCATGTTCGTTTGTGTGGTACATTGGAAGTGTTGCAGGAGAGCAACTGTATCTGCAGCCAGGAGTGAAGCCCAGACCAGTGTTACCTCTGCTACATTAGATTTAACATACAAACATTTGAAGACATACCAACCTGTTCATAGAGTTTGGTTATGTTCATGTATAATGAAACAAAAGTAAATGCGGCACAATAATAATGTTTAGAGTGGAAGATGGATGGTTTTAGAAAATTGTGGGTCTTTTTCCAGACCTGCAAAACTTTGATGTCAGTGTGATTTATGAGGCAAGACACACAAAGTTCAGTCGGTGTCACACGCACAGTTCCCTCTATCCAGTCACAACCACAAACCTGTGAGCTGTCAAAGGTTGGAATACTCTCCTCTCCCTCCGGTCATCCACTGCACCACCTCAAGTGTGGATACCCGGCCAGTCAGAAGCCTTCACATATCACTGTCCAGTTAATAAATGCTTTTGTGAATTTCTGAACGTGTTTCCAACGTGCAACACAATTCCACTCCTGATTATCAAAGCTAAATAAATCATAGGCTTGCTCTGGTAAACAAAGCACACTTGTACCTGCATCTGTGTTTATGTTGTAGCTCACTGAGTGATCTTGTCTTATCTTATAGTGTCACCTCTACACTTCACGATCTTTCATCTGCAGACCAGCTGTTGCTCTCCGTCCTGCAGGGATCAGCTTTGCACAGGGTTCGCTGAGGAGTAAACGTCCCGGCCTCAGTGTCCTCTTTTAAAACTCAACAAAATAGCCTCTGACTATCATTTTTCTGTTTATTCTACTCTTATTAATTTCTCAATCCATAAGTCTATTTCTGTGTTTTTATCTTTTTTTAATTGCATTGAAACTATTTTTAATATTTTACATCTTTACATCTGTGAAGCACTTTATAATGTTGTGTTAGAAAACTCTCATACAAAGTTCATGATTGCTTTATTATTAGTTCCATGGCAGACGTGCTGCAACGGGTCACTTTCAACACAACCCCCTCTGTCATCACAGACTCGCCACGACGATGCCTTTACATCTGTTCGTACTTGTGACACTGCAACATTTCTACAGCAGTCTTGTTCCACCTTCCTCTGTTGATGGTGTCTTGAACTCTTGTTGTTGTGGAGCACGCCCTTCCCCATAAACTCAGGGGAAGATGTGATTTATAAGCAGATTTAATGTCACATAAAAGTTGTATTGTACATGCAGGGAATGCCAGAGAGCTGCAAAGTGAGGAAACATGATTTACTGTTGTCTCCTTAGTTGTTTTACATGACTGGTGAGATCTTGCTTACATCAATGCATCAACATGACCAGATTAGTTGAAATCCTTCTGTTCGATATCGTGGATACCCACCGGTAAATCACTCCACCCACCCAGGTGTCACAGGGTCAGTCAGAGGAGGGGAGGTTTGAGACTGTATGCTCCACCACACCAACCCTGATGTGCTGTGTTGTAGCAGTTTAACCTCTGATAACTGTATGAAAGCAAATGTTAAAGGGAGAGTTCACCCCAAAATTTGTAATATCCCAGGAGACCTGTCTTTGAGCAATATATGACCTTGTGGCGCAACGGTAGCGCGTCTGACTCCAGATCAGAAGGCTGCGTGTTCAAATCACGTCAGGGTCAGTGATGATCGGATGTTCCTCGACTATAAGACAGTATGAGAGAGCTGCTGAGGTTCACTGATAGGTGTTTTGTCCACCTACACATGTTCACCCAAAAATTTAAAATAACTTTATCTAGTCACCACTATGTGGATGGAGGGGTGGGTGAAGTGTTTGATTCCGCAAAACACTTTTGGAGTTTCAGGTGGTGAAGCCAAATCCAATCCAATTGAAGTAACTAACTAAGTAATGGTCCTTGTCCTGCTCGTCTCGTGACACCTCGCGATATCTGCAGTTACTGCAGCAGTAACCAGGAGGAGGATGAACAGTGGACATCCCTTTAAATTTCAGCCATTTAGTCTGAACTTACCTGTGAGATAAAGTTGAAATCGGATCCAGGTGAAGCCTTGAAAGATTCCTCCTTCACGTTGGTGGATGCATTGGACAGAAAGCATCCTCCTCCGTTCATGTCCCCACTCCCTCACTCAGTAAATGGTTAAATAACTTGATGATCCTGCTGGGACCTTTCATGTGTCATGCACATGAAGTTCTACTCATCTGCAGAGACAGTAATAATGATAAATCACATGTACAATAGTTTTTTATATCTGTGTTTGCTTTTTAAACAGTTTTGGTTTGCGTACAGAACTGTAACAAAGCTATGTTGCATCTGCTCCTTCAAGATTCTGTGGTTTTTCTCAAGACGGTGGGTGGGAGGACTAACATCAGTGTTTGGGACCTGCAGTCCTTTTTTTTCTTGTATGCTCGCCATTATTTCATAATTTCATCTTTCTTCGATTCTTCACCATAGGGTTTTGTGAAGATCTAGCAATTAGATGATGTTGCAGACACAGCAGAGCAACAGAAGTCCCACGAGCAGTGCCTCAGAGACAGATAAATAAAGTCTAACGTATCTTAAATCAGATAACCAAAGTATCTCAATAGTGACACTAGTTATCGTTTTCCTAATGTCTCCATTTAGCAATTGTCACTCCAGCAAATTTGACTTTATAATTAGAGAGAACCATTCC